GCTGGAGCATTCACAATTTTTTTTTATTACTTTCACGATACAATCGGCAATGCGGTGCCCTTAAAACAATGCGCGCGGGCCTGAGAACCAAGTAATCTTTTTTTTTTGACCTAATATAAAAAAAAATCCTTATGAATCACACATAATTTCATTGTTTCAAATATGCGAGGTTAAATACAAATTCTTGTATCTTGTATCTTCTCTACATTGATCTAATGATTAATTACTGCAAATTTCATCTGATATGTTCGAATACCAGATTTAAAAGTCCCACGCTGCAGTCAATCTATTTTTTTTCCTTGATTCATAATCAAACCACTTGTCTATTCTTTATGCAATCTAATGGAATACCTGACTTCTTTGACCTCTCCCTGTCCTATCTCCAGGTAGTACAGTTCACTGCCGACAGCGACCACAGCCTGGGCAGTGTTACAGGAAGCCAGACTGATGTTTTTTCCTCCAGAGTGTTTCCACTCACTAACTAGTCGACGTGACTCGCAGCTCACAAGTCGCACAGATACAGGAGTGATCTAAAACAAAGCAGCAAGCATACTGAGAATTAAATAGTGAGGAAATGCTGCAAATGTCGCAAGTTACATATCTTTTTGGTTCAAAATATCAAAAAAAAAGGCCCCTTTGAGATTTGTCAAATGAGCACCAGGTGCTTAAACATTGAATTGAATATGACCTCAAATGTCCTGGGAACAGGGTGGGTACCTGCAATTAAGGCCCCTCTCTAACTTTGTCGGTCTTATACAAAATTATGTTAATTTTTGTCTCTGAACATAAGCAAATTAAGTAAATGGGTGCAATAAAAAAAATACCCAACTTAAAATTTTGCAAATGATTATGTCACTGAATTGCACAATAGTAAATACTATAGTGCCATGTACTCTACTGTGATTCTCTATTGGTTTTTAATAAAGGATTATGAAGTTTATGTATTCATGAATTAAATAAGGATGAATATTATAACGAATTATTATGAAATATGATGTAATCATATAAACAAAACTTCTAGATATCTAGATGGCTGTACTTACAACAAAACAACATTCTGTATATTTTTGCAGAAAATCTGTCAAAAACCATTATTTTAAGGAATATTATTAACTCACTGATAATGCAAAACTGAAAACCACCAGGGTTTTATAGTCCAAGAAAAGGGAGTTAGAATCAAATCTCCAAGAGATTGATTGTTGAGTGATCATAGACATGATAGTCAATATTTAGAAAATGATCATGTACACCTGTGTAAAATCAAATTTTCAGAAGGAACTTAAAAATTAAACAAGATTCAAATTTGGACTCTAGTGAATTTTTTCCCTGATCCCTGAACCTTTACCTGTAGCAGTTGATTGTGGACGACATTAGCACACAGAAATGTCTGTTGGTCTGATTCAAACCCTGCCAGTTCTGTCTCCTCAACTTCTTCACCATTTAACATCAGTACCCTGTCATGACAGAAAACACAGTATTAGACAACATCGAGTTGGTGTCACAAAGTACAGTTCTAACTAAGACATACATACTAGGACCTGGTTATACTCCCACAACTAGTCTTACCGTTACAGGATCTCAATAACAAATACAGCAGACTAAAATACATTTGGTTTGTTTGTATTCCTATTAACAGCTATGGTCATATTAGGACATGCCAGGTTTTGGTGGTGGAGGAAAGCCGGACTTCCCAGAGAAAAACAACCGACCTACGCCCAGTACCTGGCAACTGCCCCACGTAGATCTGGAACCCGCGACCCAGAGGTGGAGGGCTAGTGGTAGCAGAATGTCA